GAAGCGCGCTCCGGGCAGGAAAAAAAAAAAAAATCGTGGTGGGCCCTAGGAAGTGTTCCCACTAGGGAACCTGCTCGATACCATGATAAGAAACGAGGAATGAGAATGACTAAAGGAAAGTTGGGTACAAAAGCAAACCCTAGAAAACTGTACCCCATATGTGCTACCCCACTATAGCCTACAGTAGCTATGTCATATAAATCTGACAGCAACACCCGAAGAGTAGTCATCTTCGGGGTGGGGGAGAAGGTCTGGAATTAGTCAACCCCCTGTCGCTGACTGAAGCCTCGAGCTACATAACACGCATTGAAGGCAGGCGGAGAACCCGGCGGCCGCTTCACCCTGAAAATCCACATGCCATCGACTATGTTCGCCCCAGGTGGGGGAACCTCGTCAACGTAGGTGCCTGTGGACTTCCAGAATGCCATCTCGGCATCCATGGCCGCCTGCCACTGAGAGGAGTAAGGACCCGTCATCGCCTCTGCGTAAGAGCGCGGGGTCGGGATGTCTAGAGCACCCGGGTCTCCCTCAAGGGCAAGCAGCATGGAAGCGAAACAAAGTACAGCAGCTGCAAGACACTCAAAGTCCTCCTGCCTGTCCTCAAAGACGTCCGTACCAAGAGCACACTCACCCCCGACGGACGGAGGACTGGCAGACGCAGACTCAGCAACAAGAGCAGAGGCGTAGTCTAGACGGCAGGCAGCAGCAAAGTCAAGCAGCTCAGCAATGAGAGCAAGCTCAAAAGAAGGGTCACTAACAGCAGTGACGAGGAGACGAGAAACAGTGGGACTGGCAGCACGAGCGCGGTCAGACTCAGGGTCATGGACCTCAGGAAGAGGCTGCGGCGCTTCGCACTAGTCGAAGCAGCACCGACGTCCTCAGTAACAGAGACGTCTGCAGCAGCAGCAGAGGTGAAGGAGGGGGAAAGGGGGGAGGGGGAGCACCCCTCAAAGAAGGGCGAGCGCGGAGTGCCACGAGCAGCACCTACAGCAACTGCACTAGTCTCAGCTGCGAGGAGATGCTGCTCGAGGAGGTCAACAGTGAGGGAGGTGGGGTTAAGGGAGAGAAAGTGGTCCCTGACAGAGCGAAGAGAGTCAGGGAGGCGGGAGACTATGAAGTAGAGGGTGATGAACATGGGGGGCTGGTTCGTGGCAAGGAACTCAGCAAGGACGGTAGCGCGGTAGCGAGCGTCGCTAGTGCGCAGGTGGGTAACCAGGTCCGCTACGGTGGCAAAAGCCGACAGCTCAGGGAACAAGTAGGGAAGAAGCAGGCGGCCTAGAGCAGCAGTGGCAGGGGAGGAGTAGCGAGCAACGACAGCGTCGTACAGGGCCTGTGCCGTCCTGTGCTGTCCAAAGTGAGTACATTCGGCCACCGGCAGGTGGTTGCGAATGGCTAAGCGGGCAGTAGCGTCACGAGACAGCCACTGGGAACGAGTCGCACTGTCAGCTGTGGCGGGAGGGGCTGGAACGACACCGGACGCGAGGTCAAACAGTGAGACACTGTCCTTAATATCGCTCAGTAGGTACAGTTGCAGATCGTCGTGCCACGTGTCAAATGCATCCGGTCTGCCCTCATGATCAAATGCTAGAACTCTAAGCAAAGCCATAGTGGCGCAGTACTCAGGAGCAGCAGTAGCAGCAGTAGCAGCAGGAGCAGCAGCAGCAGTAGCAGTAGCAGCAGTAGCCAAGGGGCCAAGGGGCAGGGCCGAGGGGCCAAACACGAGGGTGGCGGGGCCGAGGGGCCGAGGGGCCAAGGGTCCTAGGGGCCGAGGGGCCGAGGGGACTAGGGGCCGAGGTGCCAAGGGGCCTAGTGGCCGAGGGGCCGAGGGGCGGGGCCAAGGGGCCAAACACGAGGCCTTGGGGCCAAGGGGCCTAGGGGCCGAGAGGCCAAACACGAGGGTGAGGGCCGAGGGGCCGAACAGGAGGGGCCACAGGGCCGAGGTGCCAAGGGGCCGAGGTGCCTGGGGGCCAAGGGGCCAAGAGGCCAAGGGGCCGAGGGGCCGAGGCTAGGGGCCGAGGGGCCAAGGGTCCTAGGGGTCGAGGGGCCGAGGGGACTAGGGGCCGAGGGGCCAAGGGGCGGGGCCGAGGGGCCAAACACGAGGCCGAGGGGCGGGGCCGAGGGGCCAAACACGAGGCCGAGGGGCCGAGGCTAGGGGCCGAGGGGCCGAGGTGCCTGGGGGCCAAGGGGCCGAGGGGCCGGGCCTAGGGGCCGAGGGGCGGGGCCGAGGGGCCTGGGGGCCGAGGGGCGTGACGGGGCCAGAAAACATGGGGCCGCGGGGCCAGAAATCGTGGGGCCGCGGGACCTAGGCGCGTCAGGGCCGCGGGGCCAGAAAACGTGGGGGGGGGGGGGGGGGGGGGGGGGGGGGGGCGGGGCGTAGGGCCTAGGTGCGTCAGGGCCGCGAGGCCAGAAAACGTGGGGCCACGGGGCCAGAAACCGTGGGGCCGCGGGGCCTAGGGGTGTAGGCGCGTCAGGGCCGCGGGGCCAGAAACGTGGGGCCGCGGAGCCAGAAACGTGGGGGCCGCGGGGCCAGAAAACGTGGGGGCCGCGGGGCGTAGGGCCTAGGCGCGTCAGGGCCGCGGGGCCAGAAACGTGGGGCCGTGGGGCCAGAAAACGTGGGGGCCGCGGGGCGTAGGGCCTAGGCGCGTCAGGGCCGCGGGGCCAGAAAACGTGGGGCCACGGGGCCAGAAACCGTGGGGCCGCGGGGCCTAGGGGCGTAGGCGCGTCAGGGCCGCGGGGCCAGAAACGTGGGGCCGCGGGGCCAGAAAACGTGGGGGCCGCGGGGCCAGAAAACGTGGGGCCGCGGGGCCTAGGGCCTAGGCGCGTCAGGGCCGCGAAGCTAGGGGTGACGGGGGTCGCGAAGATAGGGGCGACGGGGGGTCGCGAAGCTAGGGGCGACGGGGTGTCGCGAAGCTAGGGGCGACGGGGGGGGGCCGCGAAGCTAGGGGCGACGGGGGGTCGGGAAGCTAGGGGCGGCGGGGTGTCACGAAGCTAGGGGCGACGGGGGGTCGCAAAGCTAGGGGCGCCGGGGGTCGCGAAGCTAGGGGCGACGGGGGGCCGCGAAGCTAGGGGCGACGGGGGCCGAGCTAGGGGTGACGAGGCCGACGGGGCCGAGGGGCCGAGCTAGGGGCGACTGGGTCGACGGAGCCAAGGGGCCGAGGGGACGGGGCCGAGGGGCCGAGCTAGGGGCGACGGGGCCGACGGGGTCGCGGCTAGGGGCGACTGGGCCGACGGGGCCGAGGGGCCGAGCTAGGGGCGACGGGGTCGACGGGGCCAAGGGGCCGAGGTAGAAGCTAGGGGCGACGCCAAGGGGCGACGGGCCGGGCTAGGGGTGGCGACGGGCCGGGGCATAGGGGCAACGGGCGCGGGCCTAGGCTAGCAGGGCAGTAGGTGGTGGGCCCAAAAACAAACCGGTCCTAGGGGACCTGCTCTGAAACCATGTTGAAATGTTGTGAACGAGAATGAATGAACTATGAAAGAGTTGGGTACAAGTACTAACCCTAATTGGGTTGTACCCCTTATGGACTACCCCACTACAGCCTACACAAATGTATAAGCTATAATGTTCTGACAGCTAGAGCTACTAGTCCTGGAGGTGCTGGAGTTACTGCTGGAGCTGGAGGTACCGGAGGTGCTGGAGCTGCTGGTCCTGGAGGTGCTCGTACTAGAGGTACTGGAGCTGCCAGAGCTGGTGCTATTGGAGGCGCTGGAGCTGGAGACCCTGGAGCTGGAGGCACTGGCGCTGGAGGCCCTGGAGCTGGAGGCACTAGAGCTGGAGGTGCTGGAGCTGGAGGCACTAGAGCTGGAGGTGCTGGAGCTTCTATTCCTGGAGGTGCTGGAATTACTACTGGAGCTGGAGGTACCGGAGGTGCTAGAGCTGCTGGTCCTGGAGGTGCTTTTACTCGAGGTACTGGAGCTGCCGGAGCTGGTGGTGTTGGAGGCACTGGCGCTGGAGCTGGAGGCGCTGGAGCTGGAGGCGCTGGAGCTGGAGGAGCTGGCGCTGGAGGCGCTGGAGCTGGAGGCACTGGAGCTGAAGACCCTGGAGCTGGAGGTGCTGGCGGTACTGGTGCTGGAGGCACTGTGCAGCGGCGACCGTTTTCGTTCCGCTGCCACCGTCGTCTCTGCCGCCATCTGACTCGGTCCTTCGCCATGTTCTTAGTCTCCCGTCTTCTACTGGCCTTACTCCTAGCTTGCTGTGTCCACCGCCTCACCAGTCGCAGCCACAGTTACAGCCAAACTCCCCACTGCCTGCTCCTTCTCCTTATGCTGAGCAGACAGACTCTCTTACAGAGCGTCGTGAGCCTGAGTCTCGTCCTGCCTCGCCTGCTCGCGCTGTTCGCGCTGGTTGTCGTGTTCCTCGTCCGCGTCCTCCTCCTGTCCCCGGCACTCACATTATGGCACTTCGTCCTTCCTCTGTTCCACTGCAATTTCCCCTGCCGTCTCCTCCTGCGTCCTCTCTTGCTGACGGTCCGGACCCTGAGTCTGACTTATCTCGTGCTGCCTGTCCTACTGTCCCACGTCTTCTAGCCACTGTTGTCACTGACCCCTCGTTTGAGTCCGCTGTTGCGTCTGCCCTAGTTGCCGAGCTTGTTGACTTTGCTGCCGTCCGTCGTCTCGACTACGCCGTTAGTCTTGTTGCTGATCAGAAGCCCCGTAGCATGAACTCAATAGTTTATAAACCACATTTAAGCACTCGCTTTCTTGAAATGCAAAATATTAAAATTTATCAACACCATCATAAAACCCCATTCCCCTCTTCAGTAACTCATAGTGCATAGCAACATTTACCGGTACCGGTATATAGATACTGCAGTTGACGCTCCATTCCGGTTTCAACCATTCACATCACAGCCCCATCTCCCGCTTCAGCTTCTGCAGCTCGTCATCTATCTCCTCTCACACTTCATCCTCTCCTCCCACACACTATGCTGGGCTCGGCTGAGTCAACTTGAAAGTGCTCTAAAAAACCGCTGAGTCAACTTGAAAGTCACATCACACCCACATCACAGCCCCATCTCCCGCTTCAGCTTTTGAAGCTCACTATCAATCTTCTCCTCTCTCTTCATCCTCTCCTTCCACACACTATGCTGGGCTCGGCTGAGTCAACCCGAAAACGCACTAAGAATCCACCACCCACATCACACCCACATCACAGCCACATCACAGCCACATCACAGCCCCATCACAGCCCCATCACAGCCCCATCTCGCGCTTCAGCTTCTGCAACTCATCATCAATCTCCTTCTCCTTCTCCTTCTTTATCCTCTCCTCCCACGTGCTCTGCTGCGCTCTATTCGCCGATGAGCCAGACGAGTAGGAGGATGACCCGTACCCACTGCTGCCACTGCCACTGCTGCTCTGGCTGCTGCTGCCTCTGCTGCTCGTACTACCACTGCCACTGGTGCTGCTGCTGCTTCTGCTGCTCCCCCCCCTGCTGCTGCCGCTGCTGCTGCTGCTACTGCCGGGGCCACTGCTGCTGCCATCTGGTTGGCTGCTGGCTCCAGAATAGAAATACTCCTTGCTGTAGTTGGGCTTCTCTTGCTGCTCCGGTACATTCTTCTCCAGGAAATCCACTAAGTCCTCTCCAAGATCCTGTTAACAGGGAATGCAATATGGAGGATGTTTTTTTTTTTTGTTTTTGCGAAAATTGCAGCATGAGCACTGAGTGATAGACAGGAACACAATAGCTCGCATGCTCCTCCTACAGGGTTTCGGATTGCCCCTCTGCTCCCCTGCTTCTCCACCCCTCACTGCACTCATACATGTCTCACCCCAACCAATCCACATTGCTCCATAACCATTCATAGCTTCTTCCACTCAACGCCAGCTCCTCCCACAGGCTCTTGAGCTTGCCCCCCTGCTCCTTCTGCTTCTCCGCCCCTCACTGCACTCACACAGGTCTAATCTCAAACAACCCACATCGCCCCAAATCCCAAAACCCCCGAATCACCATCCACTGCCGCACTCACCGCCAGCTCCTCCCACAGGCTCTTGGGCTTGCCAGTGCCGCGCTCCTTCTGCTTCTCCTCAAAGTCCTTCTGAAGATCCTTGAAGAAATCGTCTGCAAGCTCACACGGGGCATGGGGGGCAGGGGTGAGTGGGGAAGGCAAGGGCGATGCAACCTGAGTCGGCATAGAACTGCTCCTTCTGCTTTTCCTCAAAGGCTTTCTCAAGGCCCTTGAACAAATCGTCTGTGCGCATGCAGGGGGCATGCCGGCATGGGGGACAGGGGTGAGGGGGAAAGGGAGATGCACTTTGAGTCGGCCTAAAACTGCTCTTTTTGCTTCAAAGGCCTTGTGAAGATCCTCAAAGGCCTTGTGAAGATCCTCAAAGGCCTTGTAAAGATCCTTGAAGCAATCCTCTGCCCACACACAGGGGTTGGGGGACACAGCCAAGAGAAGCACGGGCATGGAGGGGCAGAGATGCAATTTCAGTCAACGCGGTAGTTCCCCTGCTCCTCCTGCTCCTCCTGCTTTTCCTCAAAGTTCTTCCCAAGGCCCTTGAGGGACGACGAGAGAAAGGCAGTGCTCCACTGCCCCACTGCAACCACTCTCGCACCGTCCACCCCACCCGCCCACCACTGCACTCACCGAACCTGTAAAAGTCATCTGCCTTGTTCGCAGGCCCCTTTCATGCATCAAAGGCAGCCCCGAAATCACCATCCCACTGCGACTCATACTCTCCCCGCACTGTCCAACCTAATCCTCACACTCACCAAGGCTGTAATAGTCATCTGGCTTGTAAAGTCATCTGGCTTGTAAAAGTCATTCGATCCCTTCCTCCCACGCATCAAATGGGTCAATGGGGGAGATAACGTCACTGCCTACTGTCCCTCTGCCCCGCTGTTCCCATTATCCTCTGCAACCCTACTGCCCAAGCCAACCCACGTCACACCAACCAACCGAGGCTGTAAAATTCATGTGGCTTGTTCTTTGGCCCTTTCCACGCTTCAAACGGATCAAACGGACCACTGAAATCAGCATTCCACTCCGCCCCTCCCTTCCCCTCCACGCACACCATACCCGCTCCCCACTGTCCAAGCCAAGCCAAGCCAATCCAAGCCAAGCCAAGCCAAGCCAATCCAAGCCAAGCCAAGCCAAGCCAAGCCAAGCCAAGCCACACTCACCGAGGCTGTAGAAGTCATCTGGCTTGTTCGTGGGCCCCTTCCACGCATCAAAGGGATCAAACGGACCGCTGAAATCCGCATCCCACTGCGCCCCATACCCTCCCCTCGCCCTGCTGCTGCTGCTGCTGCTGCTGCTACTGGTGTTCCTCCGCGCCCACTGCTGCTGCTGCCGCTGGGAGGCAGCCCGCGCCTTGGCGTTGGCAGCAGCATCGGGGTCTGTGAGGGTCTGATACGCCTGCTTTATGCGCACAAATCGCTGCTGTGCGTCGGGCTGGGGTTGGGGGGAAAAGGGGGCGGGGCGGGGAGAGGGAAGAGGGAAGAATGTGATTAAAGGGAGGGGTAAAATCACCATCCCACTGCGCCCCATATCCCTCCCCTAGAACCACTGCTGCTGCTGCCGCTGGGAGGCCGCTTTCGCCTTGGCGTTGGCAGCAGCGTCGGGGTCTGTGAGGGTCTGATAAGCCTGCTTTATGCGCACAAAGCGCTGCTGTGCGTCGGGCTGGTGGAGGGGGAAAACGGGAATGGAAGGGGGACGAGAAGGGAGCGAAGGAGGAGGAAAGGAGGAGGGGTCTGTGAGGGTTTGATAGGCCTGCTTGATGCGCACAAAGCGTTCCTGTGCGTCGGGCTGGTGGAGGGGGAAAATGATGGGGACGGGGAGAGGGAAGAGGGAAGAGGGAAGAAGGTGATGAAGGGAACATTCTTGTTGTAGGCGCATCAATCGTTGCTGTGCGTCGGGCTAGTGGGAGACGGGGAGTGGGAAAGGAGGGAAGAGAGAAGAGGGGGGAGAAGGAGAAGGAGAAGGAGGAATGAGTAAGCGCCTGGTTGGCTTGATTGATGAGCACAAGGCGCTGCTGTGCGTCATTTGAGATGTCTCAAAAGTCGTCTACTTACAAAGCGCTGCTGTGCGTCAGGCCTCTAGGGTAGGGGGGAGGGTGGGAGGAGGGAAGATGAGGGGTGGGCAGCGATGGATGATGGGGGTTCAGTGAACCTGTGGTTGGCTGAACCCCCACAAAGCACACAAAGCGCTGCTGTGCGTCGGGCTGGGGAGAGGGGGGGGGGAAGGGGGGAAAGGGGGAACGGGAGGCGGAAGGAAAGGGAGAAGCGGGGAAGGAGGAACGAAGGAGGAGTCTGTGAGGCCTGGAAGGCCTGGTGAATATAACTACTCCTCGCTACCCGCTGGGTCCCAGGCGTTACATAGAAGGCCTGCTTGATGCGCACAGTGATGCTTTGCGGCGGGCTGGGGAAGCGGGGAAGCGGAAGGGGGAGCAGCGGGGATGAAGAGAAGAGGAAAGAGGAGGCCAAGTGAGGGAGCAGGGGGGAGGTGAGGGGTGAAGGCTGTGAGGGTGGGGAAGGAAGGATCAGGATCAGGCGTGAGACGAATTTCTTTGATCGATTCTCGAGAGTGTCTCACCGCTTTATTCACGTCGGGGTGGTACTTAAGGGCCAGCCGCCGGAACGCGGACTTAATCTCCTTCTGAGACGCGCCTCGAGGCACTCCCAGCACGTCATAAGGCGATTGCTCCGCTCCCGCCGCCGCTACCACAACCACTCCCCCCCCACCGGCACCCCCTACCGCTGCAGATACTCCCCCTTTCCGTTTCGCGCGCCTCCGCAATCCTCCGGCAATCCCGCCAGTTCCGCTGGTTACCCATAGTCCCCCAATCTCCCCGCTGAACCACCCGCAATGTCGCGCGGTGGCCGATTGCCACGTGTCGCAATCGGGTCGAAATCTCGATAGTGTCGCACGCGACGCGGCGGAGACAGGCGTGCCACGTCGGCCGTAGGTGCTGAAGCGCGGGCCGCGAATGGCGGCGTGGCTGGCGCCGCCATTCGACAGGCCGTTTAGGAACATGAGAGTCCCTGACGACGCTGCTGCCATCTGAAACTGTTTAAGACTAAGTTCCGACGCGACAATGCGGCCTGCCAGGTCAGCGCACCGCGCCGCGATGTTTAAACTAGACGACAGCCGCGTGGCAACGACGAGTTTGTCTGTCAGCTCTTCACGTCTTTCGAGGCGTGATTTGCGGCGTGGTTTCTGGCGTGGTTTGCGGTGTTCACTCAAGTCGAAATGAAAATATACAAGTACAGTGCGTGGTCTGGTCTGGTTCGTGAATCCTGATTCCCAAATCTCCTGAATCGTGAATCCAGTAATATAGGGACGCGTGACGTCATCACATGCTGCCCCACGGGTCCTGGCACAAAGGGATTTCGGGGCAAATCCGAAAACCCTCCGAAACCCTCGGGTCACCCCGAAAATCCCGCCTGACCAGGCGAAAAAACCCTCCGAAATAGTTCTATACTTCCTAAAGATTATTACACAGTTAGAAACTTTGTGTGAAACAGAAAATACTACAGAGTATCCATAGTATCAAATTCGAATTTGATTTACGCGCATATATATGTCAGCCGTACTGTCGCAATTTCGGTGACATTGATCGAGCACTACTCGATGGGCATTGGCCACTCGTCGTCGAGCACCGTGCACCCCCGACAAGACGGGTGACAGCGCCTGACATCGCCATCGACGTCGCCTGACAAGCCGCGTTGTCAGTCGACGTGAGTGGTAACGGGTTTCGCAACCGGCCGACGGTCACAATCGACGGCGCCTTCAACTTCTGTCGACCGATCGCTTCGACGGTCGAGCGAGACGTCGCTGCCGGATGGGCGACGGGTTACGTAAGTCGCCATCAAAGGGGTCACGTCAACAAATGACGGCCACTTCAAAGGCCAAGGCCTTGAGGACACTTGTAAGGGAAGGGTTATCAACCCAACAACGTGTCAGAATGTATTTGCTGTCTAGCCTGCAGTGGGGTACTCTGTAGTGAGTACAACCCAATTTAGGGTTTGCTATTTGTATCCCAACGCTTGCTAGTGCAACCCCCTTTTTTTCTTCAATTTCTCTTTCGCTTACCCTTCACCCTACTCATGGCTACTAAGTTCTAGCTAACCATCCTCGTTCGTTTCTTTCACATGGTATCAGAGCGAGTGCGCTCTTGGCCTGTGGGCCCACCTGTTTCCGCTGCTGTCATGTCTGTCGCGCGCCCCCTGGCGTGCGACATTTTCTGCCCGCCGTGCGCCCCGAGGCGCGCGGCGGTTTCCTGCCCCGTTGACCAGCGCGGCCCCCCTTCCCGTCGCCCGTCGTGGCGCCCTCGGGGGCCCACGCGCGCCCCCCCCCCCCCTCCCGTCGCCCGTCGTGGCACCCTCGGGGGCCCGCGCGCGGCCCCCTCTCGTCGCCCGTCGTAGTGCCCTCGGGGGCCCGAGCGCGCCCCCCCCCTCCCGTCGCCCGTCGTGGCGCCCTCGGGGGCCCGCGCCCCCCTCCCCCCCCAACCCCCCCCCCTTCCGTCGCCCGTGGAGGCGCCCTCGAGGGCGCGCGTGCGCCCCCCCCCTTCCATCGCCCGTCGAGGCGCCCTCGGGGGCTCGCACGCTGCCCCTCCTGCAGCTCACGAACCGCCCCTGCAGCCCGCGAGCCGCCCCTGCAGCCCACGTGCCGCCCCTGCAGCCCACGAGCCGCCCCTGCCGCCTCCTGTCCTCGTGCAACTGCGGGGTGGCGGGTATGGGAGTGGCGGGTGTGTGAACCGTCCCCTACTCCTCCTCCTCCTTCGTCTCCCACTGCTGCAGCTACCGCTGAGGGGGGTGGGTGTGTGGGAGCCGAGGGAGTGGTACTAGGGGGGTGACGTGGGAGTGGAGCTAGGGGTGCAGCAAGGGGTGTGTGAAAAGGGGGTGGGACAGTTGGGGGAGGTTGAGCGGAGGCTTCCGTCTTGTCGTCCGCAGCACCTGTAGTCCGGGGCTCTGCTGCTGGTAGCTCAGAGAGCCTGCTGCGCCTGTCGCCCGTGGGTCCGTTGTGTCAAACTTATATGCTATAGTCTGTTTAGGCTGTAGTGGGGTAGTTCTTACAGGGTACAACACTTTTAGGTTTCCCATATGTACCCACCTGCTTTCTAGTTCATTCATTCGTTCTCATTCTAACATGGTATTCTGAGCAGGTTCCCTAGTGGGAACGTCTTTCCTTGGGCCCACCACGAAATTTTTTTCCTACCCGAAGCGCGCCTCGCGCCTGTTTCACCTGCGCCGTCGCGCGCTCTGCCCTTGTGCCGCCCGTATTGGCCCTGCCTTAGCGGCCCGTTGTGGCCCTGCCTTAGAGGCCCGTCCCGGCCCCTCCCTAGAGGCCCGCCCCGGCCCCACCCTAGAGGCCCGTCGCGGCCCGTTCCTAGAGGCCCGTCGCGGCCCCGCCCTAAAGGCCCGTCGCGGCCCGTTCCTAGAGGCCCGTCGCGGCCCCGCCCTAGAGGCCCGCTGCCGCCCGTAGCCGGCCCGCAGCCGCCCGTCCCCGGCCCGCTGCCGCCCGTCGCCGGCCCGCTGCCGCCCGTAGCCGCCCCGCAGCCGCCCGTCCCCGGCCCGCTGCCGCCCGTCGCCGGCCCGCTGCCGCCCGTCGCCGGCCCGCAGCCGCCCGTCGCCGGCCCGCTGCAGCCCGTCGCCGGCCCGCTGCAGCCCGTCGCCGGCCCGTCGCCGGCGCGCTGCCGCCCGTCCCCGGCTGTCGCTGGCCCGCTGCCGCCCGTCACTGGCCTGTCGCGGCCCAGCATGCACCGCCAGTAGCGGCCCTGCCCCCCCCCCGTTGCCGCCCCAGTCTCAGGCCTGTCTGCACCCTCCCCTGGTAAGCACCCGCGCCGCCAGGAGCCGAGCCGCGCCGCCCAGCCGAGCCGCGCCGCCCAACCAGGCCGCGCCGCCCAGCCGAGCCGCGCCGCCCAGCCGAGCCGTGTCGCCCTGCCCTACCGAGCCGCACTGCTGTGCACTGCCCTACTGTCTCTGCTCCTACTGCTGCTGCTGCTGCTACTTTTGCTGCTACTGCTGCTACTCTTGCTACTGCTTCTACTGCTGCTATGGCTAGTCCTACCGTTCTTACCTTTGACGCTGAGGGACGTGCAGTTGACTTTGACGTGTGGGTTGACGACCTCCAGCTCTTTCTTCAGTGTGATTCTAGGGATGGGTTGTCCCTTTTCGATCACACGTCCGGTGTTTCTACTGCTCCTACTGCCACTGCTGACAGTACGGTTCGCTCGCAGTGGACCACTCGTGACGCTGTTGCTCGTCTTGCTGTTCGTAGTCACCTGCCGCCCGCTGAGCGCGCGCATTTTGGCCAGTACAAGACTGCTCAGTCTTTGTACGACGCTGTAGTTGCGCGCTACTCCTCCCCTGCCACTGCTGCCCTCAGCCGCCTCATGCTGCCGTACCTTTTCCCTGACCTTGCTGCCTTTGCCACAGTCGCTGACCTAGTTGCTCACCTTCGCACTAGTGACGCCCGCTACCGCGCTGCCCTTCCCACTGAGTTCTGTGCCAAGAACCCCCCCCCCCCATGTACATCACCCTTTACTACCTAGTCACCCGCCTCCCTGACTCACTTTCCTCAGTCAGGGATCACTTTCTCTCCCTTTGCCCCACCAAGCTGACTGTCGACCTGCTAGAGGAGCGCCTTACTGCAGCCGAGAAGAGTATCTTAGCTGTAGGTGCTTCTCGCGGCGACCATCGCACCCCTTTCTTTGAGGGGTGTTCCCCTGTCCCCCTTCTCCCCTCTGTTGCTTCTGCTGCTGCTGTCGACCTCGTTGGCACTGCGGAGGTTGGAGCTGCGTCTGCCCCTAGTGGGAGACGCCGCAACAGCAGGAGCAAGGGGAGCAGAGGTGGTGGAGGGGGCGGCGGGGGGGGTGGTGGAGGAGGCGGAGGGGGTGGCGGTGGAGGTGGGGGTGGTACCGGGAGTGGGGGCTTCAGTGGTGGCAGTGGAGGTGGTGGAGGCAGCGGCAGCGGTGGTGGAGGTGGCGGCGGCGGTGGTGCTGGTCGAGGTGCAGCCGCACAGCGTGGAGGCTTTGGTAGTAGCCAGCGCCAGCAGCAGCCGCGCTCCCGTGAGACCCCGTCGGCCCAGCAGCTTCGTGAGTGGTACGCTAGGCGTGGGAGGTCTGGGGGTGCTGGTCCTTGCACTTACGTTCTTCGCTCCGGCACTCGTAGTGGGGAGGTGTGTGGGCTCCCACACACTACGCAGCGCTGCTTCGGTCGCTTGACTGACGCTTGGCGTGCCCAGTTTCCTGACGCCGTTGAGCTCCCTCGCTGGCATGATCTGCTTCTGCAGAATGTGCCTATCTTTGATCTTGATTTCGATGCTATCCTTGCTGCCATGTATGCTATTGCTGATAGTGCTGAGGGTGACTGTTACCTGAGTGTCCCGCCCGACCCGGGCACTGCGGCTGCTGCTCTAGGTGCTAGTGCGGCTGCTGCTCTAGGTGCTTGTGCGTCTGCTGCTCCAGGTGCTGGTACGTCTACTCTCTCTGGTACTGCACCTACTGAGTCCTTGCGCACTTTCACACTTGACTCTGGTGCTTCGCGCTCTTTCTTTAGAGACAGCACCACGCTCACGCCGCTCAGTCGGCCTGTTGCGGTCTCCCTTGCTGACCCCTCCGGGGGCCCAGACCTTGCACACTCCTCCACGATTCTACCGTGTCCTGCGGCCCCGTCGGGCTTGGTGTCGGGACTCCACCTCCCCTCGTTCTCTACGAACTTGGTGAGTGGAGCTGACCTCCAGGACGCATGGGTTGACCAGTTCGGCCCTGGAGGTCAGCGTGTGACCCACTGCACTTGCTCTCGGACGGGCCGCCACCTGGCCACGTTCACCCGTCGGCCAGGGTCGAGTTTGTACACACTGACTACTGCGCCTCCTCCGGTCCCTGCGTCAAGTCAGGTAGCTGCGTCCAGTCAGGTGTTTGCTGCCGCGTTCAGGTCTAGTCCTGCGTCTGCCCCCTGCTCGTGTCGTACTCTGGCACACGAGACTCACCTTTGGCACCACCGCCTTGGTCACCCCTCCCTGCCTCGTCTTCGAGGTATGGCCTCCCGTGCTCTTGTCTCTGGGCTCCCCAGGTCCCTCCCTCCCCTTCCTCCGGGGCCTGCCCCCACCTGTGTTCCCTGTGTCGAGGGCCGGCAGCGCGCCGCTCCTCACTCCTCCTCGTTCCCTCCGACTGAGGCCCCTCTGCAGACTCTTCACATGGACGTGTGGGGCCCAGCCCGCGTCCGTGGACAGGGTCACGAGCGCTACTTCCTGCTGGTCGTTGACGACTACTCGCGTTACACCACAGTCTTCCCCTTGCGCAGCAAGGGTGAGGTCCCTGAGGTGTTGATCGACTGGATCCGCGGTGCTCCTCGCCAGCTCAGTGAGAGTTTCGGCTCAGACCTTCCTGTTCTGCGTCTGCACTCAGACAGAGGAGGGGAGTTTTCCTCAGACCTCCTGAGAGCCTTCTGTCATTCGGAGGGCATCCGCCAGACGTTCATGCTTCCGGCCTCCCCGCAGCAAAATGGGATTGCTGAGCGCCGCATTGGCATGGTCATGGACGTCGCTCGTACGTCCATGATCCATGCGGCTGCTCCCCATTTTCTGTGGCCGTTCGCGGTTCAGTACGCTGCGCATCAGATCAACCTTCAGCCTCGTGTCTCCTTGGCGGAGACCACACCTACTCTGCGGTGGACGGGGAAGGTTGGCGATGCGTCCGCGTTCCGTATCTGGGGATCTCGAGCTTTTGTCCGCGATACTAGAGCGGACAAGCTGTCCTCCCGTGCTGTTCCCTGTGTCTTCCTTGGCTTCCCTCCTGACGCACCCGGGTGACAGTTCTACCACCCCACCTCGCGTCGTGTTCTTTCCTCTCAGGACGTCACGTTCGACGAGTCGGTGTCGTACTACCGTCTCTTTCCCTACCGCACTGCGTCTCCCCCCCCCCACCGCTCTTCATGGCACCAGGTACTCCCCCGGTACTCCCCCTCCCCCCCCAGGGTCCTGCCCCCTCAGGTGTGTCCCAGGTAGACCCTGCCGAGCCGGTCGAGGTAGCTGTTGACTCAGGTGCTGCGTCTGGGGGTGCTGGGCCTGCGGGTGCGGGGACTGGGGGTGCTGGGACTGGGGGTGCTGAGTCTGGGCATGCTGAGCCTGAGGGTACTTTGTCTGGAGGTGCTGAGCCGGCGCGTGCTGCATCTGGAGGTGCTCTAGTTGTCCCGCCGCGGCGGGAGCCTCTCTCTCCACAGCAGCTTCGTGAGTGGTACTCTCGGCGCTGTCGGGGTGCTGCTGGAGCTACTGGAGGTCCTACTGGGGCCTCTGGAGGTGGTGCTGGAGGTGCTGCTGGTGGTGCTGCTGGTGCTGGAGGTGCTACTGGAGCTTCAGGAGGTGCTGCTGGTGCTGGAGCTACTGGAGGTGCTGGCGCTGCTGGAGGTGCTGGTGCTGCTGGAGGTGCTACTGGAGGTGCTAGCGCTGCTGGAGGTGCTGGTGCTGCTGGAGGTGCTGCTGGAGGTGCTGCTGGTGCTGGAGGTGCTACTGGAGCTTCTGGAGGTGCTGCTGGTGCTGGTGCTACTGGAGGTGCTGGCGCTGCTGGAGGTGCTGCTGCTGCTGGAGCTGCTGGAGGTGCTGGTGCTGGAGGTGCTGCTGAGGTTGGAGACCCTGGGGTTGAGCGTACCGGTTCTGCCTCTGCTGTTTCTGGAGGCGATGCGCGGCCGCGGCCGTACTACGTTCCGCTCCTTCAGCAGGTTCTTGGCGCCCCGCCTTCTCCTAGTCCTCCTCCTCCTTTCCTTAGTCCGCCACCTGTCCAGTCCCAGTCGCAGTTGCAGCCGACCTCTCCACTGCCCGGTCCTTCTCCTTACTCTGGACCGAGTAGAGGTCTTACGGAGCGTCGTGAGCCTGAGTCGCGTCCTGTGTCGCCTGTGTCTCGTGCTGCGTCGCCTGTCCGCACTGTTCGCGCTGGTCGTGTTTTGCGTCCGCGTCCTCCTCCTGTCCTTGGCACTCACTCTATGACACTGCGTCCTTCCACTGCTCCACAGCGTTTCCCTCTGCCCTCTCCTCCTGCGTCCTCTCTTCCTGACAGTCCGGACCCGGAGTCTGACTCCCTTCGTGCTGCTAGTCCTACTGTCACGCGCTTTCTGGCCACTGCTGTCACTGACCCTCTGTTTGAGTCCTCTGCTGCGTCTGCTTTTGTTGCTGAGCTTGTTGACATTGCTGCAGCCTGTCGCCTAGACTACGCCGCTAGTCTACTTGCTGAGTCTGAGTCTTTGTCTGTCTGTTCTCCGTTCGTCAGGGGTGAGTGTGCTCTTGGCACGGGCGTTCTTGAGGACAGACAGGAGGAGTTTGAGTGCTTTGCTGCTTCTGTACCTCATCTCGTGTCCATGCTGCTGGCCCCTGAGGGAGACCCGGATGCACTAGACATCCCGACCCCGCGCTCTTACGCAGAGGCGATAGAGGGTCCCTACTCCTCTCAGTGGCAGGCAGCCATGGATGCAGAGATGGCTTCCTGGAAGTCCACAGGCACCTACGTAGACGAGGTTCCCCCACCTGGGGCGAACATCGTCAGTGGCATGTGGATCTTCAGAGTGAAGTGGCCGTCGGGTTCTCCGCCTGCCTTCAAGGCGCGTTACGTCGCACGTGGCTTCAGACAGCGACAGGGAGTTGACTTCTTTCAGACCTTCTCCCCTACCCCGAAGATGACCACCTTTTGGGTACTGCTGCACGTTGCTGCTCAGCGTGACTACGAACTCCACTCGCTTGACTTCAGCACAGCCTTCCTACAGGGCAGCCTGCACGAGGAGATCTGGCTGCGCCGCCCACCTGGCTTCACTGGGTCGTTTCCTGCTGGTACCCAGTGGAGCCTCCGGCGGCCAGTCTACGGTCTCCGCCAGGCACCCCGTGAGTGGCACGACACACTCAGGACGACTCTTGCTTCTCTTGGTTTTGCTCCTTCCACTGCTGACCCTTCTCTGTTTCTACGCACTGACTCTACTTTGCCGCCGTTCTACGTTCTTGTGTACGTAGACGACCTCGTCTTTGCTACTGCTGACAGTGAGGCACCCGCCCACGTGAAATCCGAGCTGCAGAAGAGACACACGTGCACAGACCTGGGTGAGCTGACAAGCTATCTTGGCTTGCGGATCACCCGGGACAGAGCACAGCGCACCATTACCTTGACTCAGTCACACATGGTGCAGCAGGTCCTTCAGCGCTTCGGTTTCACGTACTCCTCGCCACAGTCCACTCCTCTGCCTACCGGTCACTCCCTCTCAGCTCCACCTTCGGACGAGTCCGTAGAGCCGAGTGGCCCGTATCCAGAGCTTGTGGGATGCCTCATGTACCTGATGACTTGCACACGACCTGACCTCGCATACCCTCTCAGCCTTCTGGCTCGCTACGTGGCTCCCGGCAGGCACAGAAAGGTGCACTGGGATGCTGCGAAGAGGGTGTTGCGATACTTGTGCAGTACATCGGGCATGGGGCTCGTGCTTGGAGGACGGGCTCGAGTTGTCCTCACTGGTCACGCAGACGCCTCCTGGGTTGACAACTTGACTACGCAGCGGTCGTCACAGGGTTACACCTTCAGTCTTGGCTCCGGTTCTGTCTCTTGGTGGTCTACCCGCTCTTCTTCTGTTCCCAGTTCCAGTTGTGAGGCTGAGATCTACGCTGGGGCCATGGCTGCACAGGAGCTACGCTGGCTTACCTACCTGCTGACCGACTTGGGAGAGGCGCCTCGTTCTCCTCCAGTTCTGTACGTCGACAACAAGGCCATGCTGGCCTTGTGTCAGGAGCACAGACTGGAGCACAGAACGAAGCACATTGCTCTGCGCTACTTCCTTGCTCGAGAGTTGCAGCAGCGTGGCCAGCTTCGTCTTGCTTACGTGGCCTCTCAGGCCAACACTGCTGATGTTTTCACCAAGGCACTTCAGCCTTGTGATCATCAGCGTTTCTGTACTGTTCTAGGTCTTGTACCTACTGTGCCTCACTTGTTGACTTCTTGACTCTGCTTGTACTGTACTCTATATACTTATACCTGCATGCGTACACTTGCTAGTTTTTGTTCACTGTATTGTTTGTTTTCCTTTATACAACTCTGCATGTGAACTGGCCTTGTGGCCCTTTGCTTGTGCTCAGACTGCGTGGTGACTTTGTGATCCACCCTGAGCTTGCTTTGCCTTTCTTGACTGGTCTTGTGACCTCTTGTTCTCCCCCACTTTGCCTATGGGGGTGTGTCAAACTTATATGCTATAGTCTGTTTAGGCTGTAGTGGGGTAGTTCTTACAGGGTACAACACTTTTAGGTTTCCCATATGTACCCACCTGCTTTCTAGTTCATTCATTCGTTCTCATTCTAACACGTTGCTCCTGCCGCTCAGAGTTAGCCGCAGAGCCAGTTACTCCTGTAGTCCGGGGCCCTTGCTCCGGTAGCCACCGTGCGCGCCGCTCCTGTTGCCCGTGTGTCTGCAACATCAGCCGTTGCCTCCTATCTCCTCTCCTCTCACAGTCTAGCCTCCTCCTCCTCACTTGCTCTTTGTGAATGCCTCTAGCTTTGCTTGTACTGGTGAACCTGCTCTATGACTGCTTGCTCTGCTGATTATACCCCACTTTGACTATGGGGGTATGTCAGAATGTATTTGCTGTCTAGCCTGCAGTGGGGTACTCTGTAGTGAGTACAACCCAATTTAGGGTTTGCTATTTGTATCCCAACTCTTGCTAGTGCAACCCCCTTTTTTTCTTCCATTTCTCTTTCGCTTACCCTTCACCCTACTCATGGCTACTAAGTTCTAGCTAACCATCCTCGTTCGTTTCTTTCACACAACGGTTTAAATGAAATCCTAAACTGGGAGCAGCAGTAACATCGTTTTTGTCAGTTAGGCCAGCACTACAGCAACGAGAGCTTTCGAGTAGGCATTGATGGAGAACGATCCGTCAAGAACAACGCCTTTCTGGCAGGCAGCGGTAGGACCGCTACCTGTCGACGTTGAAACCATCTCGACGCAACCCTGTCAAACTTATATATAGCTTACATTGTGTAGGCTGTAGTGGGGTAGCCCATAAGGGGTACAACCCAATTAGGGTTAGTACGTGTTGTCAAACATATGTGTTTATGTGTTTACTGTTGTCTAGGCTATAGTGGGTTAAGCCTTAGGGGGTACACAATTTCTCTCGACATTGTACTTGTACCCTTCCTTGCTTCCTAGTAAACCATTCTCGTCATTCTCGCTACTATCTAACATGGTATTAGAGTAGGTTACTATTGGGCCCACCACCTGCTATTTCGTTCCTAGCCCCGCGCCCCGCTTGTACCGCGCCCGCGATAGGCCCGTACCTAGCCTGCGCCCGGCCTAGTCTCCTGCCCGCGCCTGGCCCGTACCTAGCCTGCGATAGGCCCGTACCTAGCCCGCGCTCGGCTCTGTCTCACGCCCGTGCCCCTAGCCCGCGATCGCCCCGTTGACACCCGCGCCCGGCCCCGTACCTAGCCCGCGCCCCGTCGACGCCCGCGACCGGCCCGTACCTAGCCCGCGACCTGGCCCCGTACCTAGCTCGCGATCGCCCCGTCGACACCCGCGCCCGGCCCCGTACCTAGCCCGCGCACCGTCGACGCCCGCGACCAGCCCGTACCTAGCCCGCGACCTGGCCCCTTACCTAGCCCGCGCCCTGTCGACACCCGTGCCCGGCCCCGTACCTAGCCAGCACCCCGTCGACACCCGCGCCCGGCCCCGTACCTAGCCCGCGCTAGGCCCCGTTCCTAGCCCAGCGCCCGGCTCCGTACCTAGCTCCGCGCCCGGCCCCTCTTCCCTAGCCCGCGCTTGTCTACGCCCGCGCCCGGCCCAGTCCCTCGCCCAACGCCCGGCCCCGTACCTAGCCCCGGCCCGTCAACACCCATGCCTGGCCCCTTGTTTGGCCCCTCGGCCCCGTGTGTTTGGCCCCTCGGCCCCCCCCTAGGCCCCTCGGCCCACATTCAGGCCCAGCGCCCGGCCCCATACCTGCCCAGCGCCTGGCCCCGTTCCTAACCCGCGCCCAGCCCTGTACCTAGCCCTGCGCCCGGCCCCGTGTGTTTGGCCCCTCGGCCCCCCTAGGCCCCCCGGCCCCTTGTTTGGCCCCGTGGCCCCTAGGCCCCTCGGCCCCTAGTTTGGCCCCTCGGCCCCGCCCCTCGGCCCCGCCCCTCGGCCCAGTGTGTCTGGCCCCTCGGCCCCCCTAGGCCCCCCCGGCCCCTTGTTTGGCCCCGCGGCCCCTAGGCCCCTCGGCCCCTAGTTTGGCCCCTCGGCCCAGTGTGTTTGGCCCCTCGGCCCCCCTAGGCCCCCCCCCGGCCCCTTGTTTGGCCCCGCGGCCCCTAGGCCCCTCGGCAGAGTGGGGGAGAACAAGTGGTCACAAGACCAGTCAAGAAAAGCAAAGCAAGCTCAGGTTGGATCACAAAGTCACCACACAGTCCGAGCACAAGCAAAGGGCCACAACGCCAGTTCACATGCAGTGTTATATAAAGATCACAAACAGTACAGTGATCATAGCCTAGGAAGGGTAAGCATGCAGGTATATATAAAGATCATAGTACAAGCAAAGTCACGCAGTGAGCAAGTGAGGCAAAGTAGGCACAAGGCCTAAAACAGTAGAGAAACGCTGATGATCACCAGACTGAAGTTCCTTGGTGAATATATCAGCAGTGTTGGCCCTAGTGGCCACGTACGCTAGACGAAGCTGACCACGCTGTTGCAACTCTCGAGCAAGGAAGTATCGCAGAGCGATGTGCTTCGTTCTGTGCTCCAGTCTGTGCTCCTGACACAAGGCAATCATGGCC